TCAAGAAACTGTTGATCATATATGAACTGTGTCAGCAGCAGCCCTGTAACAATAGATCTGTGACTTCCCGTGCCACTCACCCACACACACACTCTCTAGCTTTCCCTCAGTCCCTGTACCATGGAATATGGGTCTAACTCTTGGTGGTAAGTCTGGAACATTTATTCCAAGGTGGCTCCCCATTGAGCTAGTGACTCTAGTACCACCTGATCTGTACTGTGCATTCCTAGTCTTGCTTCCCTACTACCCAAATCTTGCCCAAATCTTGGACAATACATAATTTAGAGGCTGAATCACGCCGGGCATAAAAATGAACATCATTAAGAGATTCTTTAGACGCTGCCAATCAGGGAGTTTCGATAGTCCAACAATCGTCATGTATTCGTGTTTCTCGAACAAACTCAGCTGAAGTGAAAGTACATTTAATGTATTTCAAATCGACATTTCTTACTCTCAACTTTAGTCCCTTAACTAATCTTGAGAGTAAGAAATGCGGATTTTAAACACATTAAAATTGATGTAAGCTTAAAAGCTTACTTTCACTTCAGCGGATAAACAAACTGACAATTATACTAATCCTGCAGGAATATTGCCATTTGAATTGAACACACGGCAAGCAGAAAATGAACTTTACGGTACTTACCTTGTCCATGACAAAAATTAAGCAAACTTGGATCCCAGTTGCCTTTTCACAGTTAACAAATCATAACATTCTTCCATGGTAATGAGCTCAAACGTGCTGTGCAAAAAACATCGATTACAAAATGGGTCACTCAACAACCGCTGTCCACTGGGACTCCGGGCAGTGAAAAACATCCTCAAGTTTTCCCATCTGGAGAAAATAAAACAAGTAATGTTCGGGAGGCGGGGTTCGGGGTGGGGGGAACCATTTAGAAACAGCAGCTCATGACATAAAAATTCTGCTGAAAGCCTTAATTTTGAAATTTTGGTATGCTTTCAACATTCGTACATATTGTTGCCTTGGCCCCCACGCTTGGTTGCTGTTTCGTTTGTGCCCTTGAATGACCTTGGGGATTGTACACCATTGTGTGTGCTCTCAAGTTCCCGTTTAGCCTGGGCGCAGACGTATTTCCGTTCGTTCCCGTGTTCATTTAGAAGGGAACAAAAATCAGCTAGGCTCTCGCGGCTCTCACGCGCAGAGGGGAGGGGGGAGATTTCATATCAACCATGTTTTATTAATTTTGGCGTTTTTGGCCACCTCGGGCGATCCAGTGGGTTTTAAATCAAGACAGGATATGGCACTACGTTGATTGTAAACTGAGTTGCTTCGAAAAGGTTGTACATAGAATCCAGACTCTATTGATTGCCACTATTGGGAACCACTACTATTGACCACTATTGGTCTTCCGGCAATGGTGGTCAGCAGGGTGCTCAGACGACACATTTACAGTGGAGGTGATTGCAAATTGCATTAGAAGACATATTAAGCAAACGAGACTACTCTTTTTCGCGCATACGAAAAATACAGAACTCACACTCACAAATGGTACATACCACTTTCAACCGGTGTATGACATTTACAGACTGCAGGCTGCAGTCTGCAGTCTGTATTTAGGCCTCAGTAGCGCTCCGGTTAGCCTGAATATCACTCAGGTTAATCTGGATAGCGCTCAGGTTAGCCTGTTAAGACTGTTCAGTAACGGTTAGCTCTTGATAAAGGAAATGGGAATACGATATAAACTAAAAATCTATACTGCCTGCAATCTGCAAATGTCATACACCGCCTTTCAAGTCACTTTCAATGGCGTCTGGGATGGAACTTTGCGGTTTCAGAAGTGTACGTTATTTATTTGTTTGCTATTTATATTAAATCGCAACTTTTAGAGGGATAATCTTTCATTAAATAGATACGAGTGTTTTATTGGAAAATACACCACTCGTGGATTCGTACGAAACTACATCAAGGGCAGGGACCCGACTGGCGTATTTCCCACAT